AATATTACTTAACCATTACTCTTTTATAACAGTAATATTACTTAACCATTACTCTCTTATAACAGTAATATTACTTAACCATTACTCTTTTATAACAGTAATATTACTTAACCATTACTCTTTTATTAACAGTAATATTACTTAACCATTACTCTCTTATAACAGTAATATTACTTAACCATTACTCTTTTATAACAGTAATATTACTTAACCATTACTCTCTTATAACAGTAATATTATTTAGCTAGTTTGCTATAAGACATTACTTTAATTTTACCTTCAAATAATGATGCACATAGATAACATTAATAATATTCCCATTATTTTTTAAATGATCTTCGCTTCAATACTTCCAGTCCTTACTGTTGATGCGATTAATGCATTCCGGATATCCGGATATACTTTATGCAAAACGAGCATTAATGATGCACCCATGATTACTGCACGCATTTGCATGTCAAGTTGCATTGTTCTGTAAATTGTAAAAATTTGCTGCAATCATCTTAAAGTAATATTTTAACAGAAATTTTAACACGCTTCAAAGAATTAGCAAGTAAAATTAATTAAACTAAAAATATAATTAATTAAATAAAAACACACTTACTCATATTTTAAAATAAGCGTCCTGCCATTTAGTGCAATTTTAGGATAAACTCGTGCCAATTCAATACCATCCATACGTTTGAATTGATATATGCATTCAGTTTCTAGTATTCCAATCATTTTAAGTACTGGATATATTGATAATGATATCTATAAATAGCAGGTGGTTGACATCCTAGAACTGATAATGATATCTATAAATAGTAGATGGTTGACATTCTATTGAGTGAATACACCATGAAATTGTTTAAAATTAATGAAATTGTAGGATTTACCGGAAATTCTCTTTGGAGAACAACGGGAAGCACAATGCAATTGGCTTATTACGATAATTTTTAATTGACATTATGAAAAGTGATCTTTGAAGATTAAATTACCTTATCGACAATCATTATTGATCGATCTGATGATAGATGATGCACTCGATAACGATGATTATTTGTCCCCACTTTGTCATACAGCACCTTCAATAAAATGATTAATTATGAAATTTTACAGATCAGATTATTATTATAAAAAAAATTTTAATTTAATAATTTTTGAAATGCTTTTAAGAATTTATTGCAAAAAAATAAGGGTGATATTTGATGATTACACAAATCATAAATGAATTAAAAAACATTGGATACTTTGCATAATTACATTGATACAGTATGACAAAGAGTAGAATAGATGTACAGTATGACCAAATAGAATAGATTTGGTTACTGGTATCAAATTCAAATGATAAAGAAGTGGTTGAATAAAATGAAATCGTAAAATTAATTAAATCAGTAAATGACAATAAATGAAATTCATACTTTTTCTGAATACATACCTTATAAATTGTAGTACTGAGCGGATGAACAATTTTGCCAATTGATGATGACGATACGGTATTGCTCGGTATCTTAATATTCATTATCTGTGCTCCGGTTGCATCCTTTACTTCAAAACCATGACCTATAACGTTCAATCTTAAACTAAGGAAAGGCAAAGGTTCTTTTAAATTCATAAATTTGCAAATCACTTTCAAACAGAATAATTCTTACATTTTTTGGTTTCAAATTGAAAAAGATACGGTAGCATACGGTAATCCTAAAGATATTATTGTCTCATTTTAAATTAATAAAAACGATGAGAAAATGATGAATGTTATCAAAACAACGGTAGCTCATAAAAGGATTATATTTATCATTTTTCCTTCATTTGATAACACTTATCATTTTTCCATAGTTAAATTAATTTTAAATGAAATTAAAATAATTTTGTAACTATCGTTGTGAGAAAGTTATAGGAAAAATCATTGATAATTTAGGCTTAGTTTTTTTTTTCCCCGTACTTAATCCGTAATTTTTTTCGGCATACTGTAACAAACAAGCATATTCTTTTACAATGATTATTGATTTATTACAAATGAAGTAACATACCGTACCAGATATTAAATTAGCAGACATAATTATTTTCTTATTTCTCCTTTCGTCTCGTATTACAAAACGAATATTAAAATTTGCAATCTGATGTTCAGTATAGTCTACTGTTGCTTTAATCCTAAAAGGAAAATGATAATTATTGATATATTAAATTACATATAATATTGAAAGATATGAATTATTGATTGATAATTGAAAATACATATTTTACAAATTTATTTTATTATTTTATAAGTTATTTAAACGTTCAAAATATCATTTAACTGAAACTAAAAAGTGTTGTTAAGTTTTTTTTTTTTGTTTAAATGCTATTTAACAGCTAAATTCTATGCAAATATTCTCAGCCGAATCCACACGATGATATCATTAATTTTAATTTATCATCGATTTAACTGATAACAATTTAATTGATAACAAATGTGTGAGAATTTTTCTAATACTTTTTTTTTGATGTTAGCAATTTCTAATTTAAAGGTTAAACTTTTAAAAAGGTAAAAAGGTTAAATTTTAAAATGTGCAATAAAAAATATATTAAATGAGCATTGCAAAATAAATACATTTGAGTAACATTAGCTACTTTAATCGAAATCTTATCAGTTGACATTAATGCGGCACATTCCGGAATTTCAAAGATATTGCTATCGGTACTGAATTGTAGTGCTTTTGCGACACTTAATTTCACTTGATTGAACAATGACATTTCTCTATAAAATTTTTAAATAACAAAAGTAGTAATCGTTAAGTTTCCGAAAATTTTGGGAAACTTTCCGGATACGTGCAATGTTAAATGATAAATGTATTGATTGATTGATTTGTTGAATTTTGAATATTATTTATTTTCTAGCATTTTTAATTTTTAACAATTTTTCCAAACCATTTGATATTCTAATTTAACTTATTGATTTGCAAAAAAAA